GGATAAGATGTGACAGTGCTTATGGATTTATATTTTGTGTGTTTTGGATCAAATACTAGACTTCATTTAATATTGGGCTTAAAAGTGATAATGAATAAGAAAGGCTTACTATGAGCTTTTGATGCTTTATGCTTTCCCGAGTCCTAGTGCTGGTCGGACCCAAGGAGATGGGTTGTGACAGAAAAAGATGCTGCATATTGTTTATATTGTTATTTTTGTCATCTGGATATAATGAAAGAGGTTATGATGCTTTTGTATCTAGAGGTTCTACCTCTTGGCGTAAGAAATATTAAGAGAACATATAGGAAACTATACTCATGATCACAATAAATGTTGATTAGCTTGCCAAGCTTTAATGGACCAAGCTCAACATATTGAAGTGACATTTTCAAAATAATTAGAACAGTTAAAATTGAGTATTGTTGTAGGTTAAATGCATCTATAGTACATCTTCACTATCTCTTGATGCAAGGACTGGCTTTTCAAGAAATAATGAGTCTGAAAATTCATCAAATCAATGAAATTTCATTGAGTTATTGAAAGTCTTGACTTCGACTAATGAAGAAATTAATAATGTTGTGTTAAAGAATGCTTTTGAAAATCTCAAACTCATATTGCCTGATATTCAAAAAGATATCATTAATGCAGCTGCATTTGAGACGATAAAGGCTATCATTTTAGGTACGGGCAATGATTTATTTTCTATTTTAGTTGATGAATGTAGAGATATACCGATTAAAGAGAAAAATGAGAGTTCTCATACGATATATCAATAAATTTGTATGTGTTATCGAACGATTCATTGGTCTTTTGCATGTACGTGATACAAGTGCAATATCACTTCAAAAGGTATCAAGTCTTTATTCTTTACTCGTGGCTTGAGTATATCTAGTTTGAGAGGTCAAGACTATGATGGAGCTAGTAATATGCAAGGTTAATTTCATGGCCTTAAAAAGTATGATTTTGAAGGAAAATTCCAATGCTTATTACATCCACTGTTTTGCCCATCAACTCAACTCACACTTGTTGTTGCTAAAAAGTAGTCAAGTATATGTTCTTTTTTCAATACTATTACTCGTTTATGCAATGTTATTAGAGGTTCTTGTAAACATAGGCATATGCTTTGAGAAAAGCAAATGGATAAAGTGATTGAAGAAATTACACATGGACTAATAAGAACTAGACAAGGTTTAAATCAAGAAATGACATTAAAGAGACCGGGAGCTACTCGATGGGATTCTCATTATGATATGATAAATTTGATGCTTTTATTTTCTTTTGTCATTGACGTTCTTGGCTACATCACTGAGTATACATACATCATCATCATATGATAAAATATATATGCAAAACATAATTTGGTTAAGTAATTTGCAAGAGCAATAGATTATTTTAACTTGCTCATTACTTCAGTAATTTTCTATTTTTGTGATCTTTACCTTTGTTTGTTGATGAAATCTAAGACTATACCACAACTTTTCAGAAAGTTACATACAATCAAATTATGCAGTTCTCTACATTTTATGGAAACTATCCAATTTAATTAATTTTTTCTTCTCTAATCTCCATCAGCATTGATAGACATGGGACAAGTAGGGGCTGTCGTCCCTAATTCTAGATTTTCAAAAAAAGAAATTAATTTGGACCTTCCAATAAGTACAAAAAATTAATTTCCAAAAGGAATTTCTATCCAAAACGCGTTATTATACTTTCATTTCCCAGTTGAATTATACAATAACAAACTATATATATAATCATATTGGCATGGCATAATTTATCGTTGTGTTTTCTCTCATCAATCTATCCAATATGCAAATTTACACTTTCGTTTCTTTTTTTTTTTTTTGAAGTTTGTTGTTTCTTTCTTTTTTAAGTTCTTTAATTCATTAAAATTATGTTTTGTCTTAGGTAGAGATCCAACAAAAAGAAAATGAAAAATTCCAATAATTTACCAGTAGGTTATAGGTTTCGACCTACTGATAATGAGATATCCTTTATTATCTCTTCAATAAGGCTAAAGGTGTTTTAGTTCCTTCAAACACTATAAAAGATTTTGATCTTTATGATGATAATGATCAAACAATGATGAAAGTGTTTCAAGAAAAGTGGAGAAAAACAACTTTATTTCTTTACTAAGTTAAAGAAGAAACATGGGAAAAGGATGAGGAATTAAAGAACTATAGGTTTAGACACATGAACAGAATCTCAAAAAGAGAAGAACGTAACTTAAAAAAAAAAAAAAAAATCAAATTATTGGCACTATAATAGGATAAAAATTTGCGCCCGTAAAAAGGATTGGAGTTAAAAAAAGTAGAACTGTTGAATATATAGTCAGAGATTTCTTGGTTTGTCATTTATGATCTAATTGATTTATTCCTATTTGTTAAGCATAATGCTGAATACGTATTTTGACATATAGAGAACCGTAAAAGAATTAAGGTCCAAGTAATATTTTTATGAAGAATACAATAACGTAACTTAAGAACAAGAAGCTTCTCTTCAGTCTGATCCTCGCGCTGTCAATCTCCAATTCCATCAACATGGCTGCGAGCCTATGAGAAAGAATGCAATGCTCAAAAATTTAAAACATACGGCATGCGATACTTGAAAGGATGCCACGCTTAACAAATTTATAAAGAATTAATAAGAGAGAATGTCAAAATTCACTGTATTTAAAACTCTTTCATAAAAACTACGAATTAGAGAGAGAATTTTTAATGAGAAGCATATTTTTTTTTCAAAAACTTATAACTTTTTTTTTAAAATTAGTTAAATACAAAAATTCAAATATTAGAAAGTCTTTATCTTTAAAGGAAGCGCCATGTCAACACTCAACAAAAATCAATGATTCTCTTTTGTATGTATGTATGTCGTTATTTCATGCTTTTGCGCGCAAGTGTTTATATATTTTTTAAATAAATATTATTATGTTATTATTTGTAAAAAAGATTTTCACCTGTGAAAAAAATAACTGAAAATATTTTAAATAAAGTATTGATTAATAATAGTACTTAATCCTTATTTATTTGAGTGTTCAAAAATCAAATTATTTGAGATTTAAAAACTTTTGAGTATTCAAAGATCAAAATATGTTTTTGTACACTCTTATCTATTGTTCATTTTATTTAGATAGATTGTACAATGTTCTGAGAACTCGATCGGTCATTGAACCAGTGAAGGTAGAAGTTCATTGAACCAGAAGGTCCGATCAGATTTAATACGATTCAAACGAATTTTTATATATAATATTTTTAAATATATTTTTAGATATGGATAAAAATATTAAGTTTATGAATATTAAATAAAATTAAAAAATTATATAATATTATTGATTGCTCTTTGGTTAATTATGGATGGCCCTCAATGGAGGACCATGAGCTTGAGTTGAGCTCAGGCTTTCGTTGTTGTGGAGTGTTGGGCTTCACCGACGAGCTTTGAAATGGATGGCCGTTATCTTTACCACCACTTAACTTATATACCCTGCTTTAATCTTTTTCCGATGTGGGACAATTGTCCCTTACCATCTTCAACCACATGTCCTATAACTATTCAATTTAGATTTCTATCTTATACGAATAAAATGTTAATGTCAAGGACATTAATTAATTTCTTTCAAATCATATACTAATTTTTACTTAGGATTTTATAAGCATTAAAAATATGAATTTGCTCATCTTTATAATTTTTAAACAGAAAATTTTCTTGAATTTAGTAAAAATATGATATCTTGGCTTTAAAAAAAATCCCGGCAAAGAGAAATTATACCATAAATATCAACAGCAACTTGTAGTGCAATTTGCTTAGTCTCACCTTGTCCTACAAAAATAACTTCAGTGTGGAAATTTTTCTGAGTCCTATCAACATAATTTGGGGCTACTATTCAAACAACAACATAATTCAAAATGAAATAAATATAGAAAGTGTAGGAGGAGAAAAACTACAAAGGTAAGGAGCTGCTATTGGATGTTGATCGTAAACAATTACAAAGTTCATCAATCACATATATCTTCCCAAGCTAGGAAAAGAATGAAGTTACACATTTCATTAACTAAATTCCTCCTTTGCCTTTTGTACAGGCCAAAGCGCCAATCTCTCATTCGTTGATGGAATAATTGTTCATTGATCTTCATCTCCACAAAATATCTTTCTCTACAATGCTAACTTATCTTCAAATATTTTCACCTCCTATTCGACGATTTGTGTTTTGCCGTAACTTATCTTCAAACATAAGAAAAGATAATAAATAAATAAATAAATAAATGTGCCGTAATTTGAGCTTACCTTTATATGATTGTTGTGGTGATTATTTTGCAGTTCAAAATTTGAAAACAATAATATCTCTATCAAATATAAAAGAAGAAAAAGATAAACAAAGAAATAAAGAAAAACAAATATACAATTCATTTTCCTCGCTAGTCTCAATCTTGATGCAATGATCTGGTTTTTTAGAAAGAGATACATTTCAAATAAATATCTAATCAATATTAGTTAGGATATTATTAAATAGCGAATTTTTTATTAACCTGACTATGACCATTTAGATTCAATGAAAATAATATTTATTTATTAGATTAGGTACAATTTGAAATTAAAGTATTATTGTAATTAAAAATTAAAGTTCAAGAAAGTTATATTTTTTCTTTTTTATATATAGAAGTTCAATGGGCCAAAATAACATTGTGAGCTATACAGCAAGGGGAAGCATTGCCCTTTAAATAACAGTCACCAAATTAGTGATAACTTTTATAGTGGAGAGGATCGAACTCGAAACCTCTTACTTTCTACATCTTCTATTAGAAGTAAAAAAAAATCATTCAGACTACACTTTGATCGGCAAAGTTAGATTCTAATGATTTAGGCATGATATAATGATGTAATTTGAAAATATCAGTAGCCTTAAATTATTTTGGTAAATTGTCTAAACAAGGACATTATTTTGCGAGTTATTCATGTACGCTTAGAATATAAAATAAAATAGAAAGAAGAAAACAAAAAGGGGAGAAAGACAAAGCAATTCTTGAAAAACTAAAGGATGAAAATAAAATTTGAACTTTTGAAGCGTCAGAATCCGTGAGTACACATTTCGGGCGGAAAGTTTTTCTGCTCTCAGTCAATATTCTATGGTCTCCTCTAGTCCTCTGCCTCTTTCTATCACTAGACGAGACCCACTTCCTCACTTTCTCACCTTTTAGTTGCAGAAAAAGGATGCAAAATTTGTCAGGTACCTCTTTTCCCCTTAGCTCGTTTCTATTTCCATGTTTAATTCTCAATACAGTGTCTTATGATTCATGATTGTATGCTGTATCTAAAATGCATGTCAGCTTTGTTTGCTCTTTATTTCGTCGGAGAATTTTGCTGTGTTTCCATTTTATGTTCGCTTGATGGTAAAGTTTCTGTTTGATTCCTGGAATTTACAGTATCGAGAAAGGTTTAATATTGCAGAGAATATTCAAAACAACTTATGTCTATATGCTCGCAAGTTGCTTTCTTTCCCCATTTCTTAATATTTTTTTTAGGAAAATAGCATTTGGGGGTTTATTGGCAATTTTTTCGAGGAAGTGTTATCTGCCCAAACGAGAGAAAAAGACAGTGTCAGACTTTTGTTAAGTTGGATCTTTCTTTTTCTTATTTTTTTACTGTAGTTGTTAGTTATTATAAAAAATGATATGTATGATAAAGTTCGTATAATCTGTCAGTTGGTCTTTCTTTTGCTGTAATTGGTGACAGTTTAGGAGCAAAATCAACTATGGAAAATGAAATGGCTGAGATTACCATGATGTTATTGTGATGGTTTTACTTCACATTTGACTTTTTCTCAAACTATTGAATTTTTCTTTAGTGAACTTTTTTTTTCTTAACACGTGATACTACAAGTGTGACTCATTTGTCAAACAGTGTTGAATTAGGTGAGTGTAATTGCTAGTATTGATTTTTTTGATTGCTTCTCTCTATCAGATAATTAAACCATTGAGAATTTGATCCTTATGTTGAGGAGACTCAGTTGAACAATTGGTGGGGTAGCATGCTTGCAAATAGGTTAGTTGGCAAAGGGATATGAATGTATTTATGTGTGCAAGAATTGATGTATTGATTCGTAAGCAACAAAAATTGACCAACTTAATTGCTTAGGATTTCTAAAGATCACGAGATATGATTTGTCAATTCTGCAAGTCATTGCTGATCAATGATCTGCTAGGGGATGGTGTATTGGGTAAATTATTCTAATGGTCACCAAACTTTGCACTTAGTTAATTAATGTTATGTCACTTCAACTTGTCATTTTTTAGTTACTAAATTTTGATTTTTTGTTAACGAGAGGTTACTCACGATTCCGATTACTGGAATGGTAAAATGACATTAAATATTATATATTTCACAAAAAAAATTGTGATTAAGAAAACGTATAAGAAGGAGAAGGATACAAAACACAAATAGTAGAGTGAAAAAGTTTTTTCCTTTTTTTAAAAAAACTTGTTTCATGTATGTGCCACTATTTGTTAGCTGGATTAATTGGTAGATTCCAAATTAGTCTACCAAGAGAAAATATTTTTTTTATGTGAAATATTTTATTTTAGTACCATGTTCTTCCGATGATCGAATTCCAATGAGTAACCTTCCCTTAGAACAAAAATGAAAATTGGTCTCTAACTAAATTACAAATTGAAGTTATGTGACCTTAATGAAACTAAATGCAAAATTTGTTGACCATTTTAGTATAATTTACGCATTGTTTTATTAAATCAAACATCAATACAAAGGCTTTGTCCTAATGATTTCCTTTAGAGAGAATATGGATTTTGAAAATGATGATTTCTTAATTCAAGTATACAACTGTAAACTCAGTGTGTGGAATTCTATTATTCAGGTCATGACATGCATAGGAGTGTTAAAGCATAAGGCAAAAGATATAACTCTAAATCACATGGGTCCTTGCATTTACAAAACATCACAACATATATGGTGTATGTATGATGGACTAAGGTTTGTATTATGCAGTTTTGGATAAACTGAATATGTCAGTATTGGTGATGTCTTCACATAAACTTTTAAAACTAAAAACTTTTGGTTAGTGCCAAAGTTGATATTGGTGTTGGTGAGCATTAGCAACTGATATAAGTTAGTGAAAACAAAATTAATTAAGGGGTGATGCATGTTACTAGCTGTGGTTTTTTATTAGTTACAAAAGCGTATGAGGAGCCTAGTCCATTTATAGTTAGATTCACATAGTGTAAATCACCAAGAAGGCAAGATCTAAAATGTGCAAAATTGCATTGTTATTAGTCTACATATTTGCAGCACTCAGAAGGCAGTCAAGTATAGATATATGAGTTTTCCCATGTTGAAGTAAGCTTTAGTGTACGCTTTGCACAAGGAATTTCCTTTCTTAATTATGATCTGTTAGAAATTGCTGCACCAGCAACTGCATTCAATCTCATTATATTTCATAAGGGATGTAAACGGTTGTTTTTGCAAATTGAAATTGGTAGAATATACAAATTGACCACAATCTGTGGCAGACTTCATTTTCTCCACGTGGACACTATGCCTTTTACTGGAGTATTTGCTCCATTCTTGCAAATTGCTAGATTTGTTTTGCCAACCTTCGCTTTTATGCATTTCATCATAAGAATGCAAATTCCTTCCCTTGCAGTAGATGTGGCCAATAATTGATTTGCTGTTTGTAGATTCTTTGAAAATAATGTTATACTATAGCTCTCTGCAGAATGCCAGCAAAACATTCCAGTTTTATGGTGTTTCAATGTTTATATTTCTTTTATGCTGTTAAGAACAAATTTTCAACCAAGCATTTATCTAATTTTAAGCATCAGTTTAGCACTGTGACATATTATGTGGACCTTGATTTGACCACCTTAAGTTGTTCAATCTGGTGTGTCCTGTGTAAGTAGCACAGATCCTAGAGTTCTGTTTCTTCTTGAGTTGTTACCTGGCCCATGAGGCAGGGTGCTGCAGGAACTTAATGCCCTTTTTTACTTTATGTCTCTTTTTCTAGGACTCCATTGTCAGATTCAGTTCAATCCTGTTTCCTAATATAATTGCACTGGTTCAATCAATTAACTTCAATTTGCAATTTTTGTTTCTCTCCTTTGAGCTTGCTTATTTTGTGATCTTGAATGGACAACAGTAGTGACGACTTATTCCTTCCCTCTAATCTTCACAATGCTGAAAGCTAGAGTAATGCTGCAGAAGCAGGTCATCTACATGAGGAATTGGGATTGGGAGAAAGAATTTTTGAACCAAGCATTTCATTGTTTTAAGCATTGGTTTAGCACTGACATGTATGTGGACCTTGACTTGTCCACCTTAAGTTGTTCAATCTTGTGTGTCATGTCTGAGTAGCTTACAGATCCTAAGTTCTTTCTTCTCCTCTTGATTTGAGACCAAAATAAAAAATTCAACTTAATTACCAATTGAACTTTATTGGTTGAGGTGTAATTTTTCCCCAACCTAGAGACTTCATTTGCAATCTTCTGAAACAATATCAGCGTTGAGTTGTTAGCTGGTCCTTGAGACAGGGTGCACTAGGAACTTAACGCCTTTTTTATACATTGTCAGATTCAGTTCATTGTTAATCCTATTTCCTAAGATAATTGCATTGATTCAATCAATTAATTTCAATTTGCAACTTTAGGTTCTCTCCTTTGAGCTTCCTTGTTTTGTGATCTTGAATGGATAACAGTTGTAACGGCATATTCCCTCCATCTAATTTTCATTTTGCTGAATAGCTAGTGTAAAGCTACAGAAGTGGATCATCTGCATCAGGAATGGGGGAAAGAGTAATTTATAATTATGTTTTTGTACATAGATCGCTTGAGGAATCATTTACCTCACTGGTTGATGCAGTTAACCAATTTTATATAAGCAATCTGAGAATTACCAGCTTTAACCATACAAATCTTGCAAGTAAGATGATTATTTGTGAATTACTGACCTATGTATAAGGTGCAAAATTTTGTGGCAAAAGAAGAAGGTGAAAAAAAAGTTGAAGTTAAATTTCTGTGAGGTTGAGAATAATTCAGATGGTAATCCATATTGTTTTCAAACTTTATCATTGATCTTTTATGTGTTCTCAAATTTTGTGTTTTCAATCTGCTTAAGAAGAGAATCCCTGGCTTGTTTACTGTTTTTGAAACTGGTTTGCTTTAGTGAATTTCCTTTCCCTTGACAATTGCATTGCATGCATGGTTCAAAAATATCTCGTCATGAACCTTGACTTAAGACTCAAAAGTGTCTCAAATATACAGCTTGAAGGCAACGTAACTTGACTTCACAGCTGTCTGATTTTAAGTTTCAAGTATCTCATTGATGTAGTGCTTAGTGCTTCTTATTTCTTATTTCTTATCTCATTGATGACTTCACAGCTTCTTATTTCTTTTGTTTTTATTCATTTCACAACATAGGTTCAATTGCAGTAAAATCAGATGGTGACATGACATCAAGGCGACCAAAGTTAAATGCCGTACAGACCATAGCTTGAAACAGGTAATGGGTCTCTCAATTACCAAAAGTAGGCTTTGAAACTTCAAATTTCTTACCAAAAAATTTATATTTCATTAGTATGCAATAATTTGCAGGAAAAAGAATTTACTACTTGTGAAGTTAAGCTATCCTATGTTGCCTATTCTTGCATAGAAAAGCTACCTAGAACTGTGCAGCAGGGCTGCTAAGATACATGTGCTTTTAATCAAAGCCAATTCAGTTGTTCCCAGTCCCATAGTGGTTGGGGTAAACCATCAACCATATCCACGTTGGCACTTCCTGCTGTCCCTGGGAGGTCAGCATGATCTCCTCCTGAGCATGAAGTGTCAGGTGAGCTTGAGTTGTCCACCATTCTATGGTCTTGAGCAGATGTTGTTGCCGCATAACCAAGAAGTTGTGTCTCTCTTGCCACGGCTTCTAGTGGACGTCTATCAAATGCTCGAAAACTCCCTGATGTTATGTAGACTCGGCACAAACTAAATTCATGCCTCAGCTACGTATAAGAAATATTGATTAGAAATGGGAGATGGAAAATAATAGTAACTGCATAAGAAACTGCAAGACTGGCTCTTTCTTTCCTTTTTTTTTTTAAATTGAAAAATACACCAAAAGATTTATTATAAACTATATATACACCTTAGGAACGGTAGTATTGGATGGGTCAGCAGCTCCTTCAATGGCTCTATACTCGTTCATCTTCCATTTGGTTTTTCTTCCTGTGGGAGCTTTCCCCTTATAGAAAACCATGGTTTTCTTCACCCCAATCACTTTGCTATCTGATGAGTAAACATAACCAGGGGAACCAGTGGCCTTCCAGTACCCAGAAGCTGTAGTGCGCCTGGGTCTTCCTCCTCTGGCTTCTCTTTCTTGTCTTGGTGCAAAGAAGAACCATTGCTCAGTGTCTCCTTGACATCTTTCTCCTGCAAGCTCTACAACATATTGCAGGAAACAAACTTTTAAGGTTCGAGCATTTTCGAATACTGAATTCATTAATATAAAACAAATAAGACTAAAATAAGATTTTTTACTTGGGAGATTCCACGGCTCTATGTTGTAAATATCAGTAACTGGGATAACACGGTTTAGTTCTTGTCTCCTCTCTTCTAGCTTGTTATGCAGATAGAAGGAAACTAGCTCCTCTTCTGTTGGATAGAACCGAAAACCTGGTGGAAGATCCCCCATTCTTGTTTTTGCTGTTGTTGCTATTAATTGTGTTGTAATGTTGTCTATAACATTTTTGGCCATGGGTTATATATGAAATATCTGAATTCATTTAATATAAAACAAAAATAAGACTAAAATAAGATTTTTTACCTTGGAGATTCCCACGGCTCTATGTTGTAAATATTCAGTGTAACTGGGATAACACTGTGTTTAGTTCTGTCTCCTCTCTTCTAGCTGTATATGCAGATAGAAGAAACTAAGCCTCCTCTTTTCTGTTGTGATAATACCACTAAAGCACACCGAAATGCATAAATTCCCTTTCCCTAGCCGCTAAAGGCTACCCCTGGACGCAGTACACAACTTTCTCCACAGTCGTGGCAGATCCCCCATTCTTGTTTTTGCGGTTGTTGCTTATTAATTGTGTGTAATGTTGTCGTATAACAGTTTTGGCCATGGTCTATATAATAATATATGTATATGGTATATTATATATACTATATACGTATATATATACTATATATTAATATATACAGTTTTGTCCAAATGGATTTGCCGAGTGAAATGAGAAAAAATGGCAAAGGTTTGTGATTGGCGAAAGCTCCCACGCGGTTGCTCAAAGAAGATAGTAGTTTTTGTCCTATGATGATTCTCCACAAGTCCATGCAATTCTTTATCCTTATTTGAACGAGTCATCCACTCGTTATTTCCGAACTGCCGGTATAGGACTCGTTAGCTGCACCCTTTTTGCTAGGGTGATTTGAACCCTTGATTCTTTCATTTATGGTTGTGGGTCCTCTCTCTTAAGCTATACAGTGATGTTTATTGGTCAATGTCCAACAATTTATGGTTGTGGGTCCTCGCTCTTAAGCTATACAGTGATGTTTATTGGTCAATGTCCAACAATTTTATCTGGTCAATGTCCAACAATTATGGTTGGGGGGCTCACTCGGCTCGCTGTAAGGTACCTTATAGGCTTCGAGCAGGGAGTGTTGAGTTAATCGGTCAATGTCCAAACAATTTTTCACGGGCGCACTAGGACACAACAGTCCAGTGACTCTACTCATTTATTTGTGGCTACTCACCAGCCTAGTAGAAGTCTTATGAGTGAGATTTCTCCGGGGCGAGAGCTTAGCTACATCGATGTATCTCTTGTAACCATCAATACGCGGCACGTGCAGATGCGCGAGTAGCAAAATTTCCTAATTTCCTGCAATTGCGTTACACTTCCGCGGTCTAGGAGACAAGAAAAGATTCGTGATTGCTAACACATTTGCCTCTTACTATTGGGACTATAGGACTATAATAGATATAGTGAGGGGAAAGCATGCGCACGGCGGCATATCTCAATAACTACCTATATATAGATTGACGATTGAGTTTGAAGAGTGAACCTCCATTTCATCGGCAGAGTCATTGTGGGACAGATTTTTAGTAGCGTAATTTCTGTCTCTCTCGGCGGGCGGTTTGTGTGTTATTCTGAGACATGCATTCTGTGTCTGATGAACACAATCATATTATCGGGGGTTTTATCTCTTGGTGTATGCTATGATGTGATTAACATTCCAAGGTTAGTGGTGCTTGCAGAACTATTGTAAAATAATTACCTAGAGGTATCATCTCTTTAACCTCTACCTACCTGAGGACATATGCTAGAGGTCGAGGGCCATTTTAAATTACAGATGAGTATACAATTATCCAAGCTATAGTCCATTATGAGGGTTTATTCAATGCTTATCGTATAATATAATCGGAATTGATTTCCGTGTTGGATGGATATGTAGTGACGAATCATGGACACACTCAGATGAATTTTGTAATTGTTATTCTGATTGTGACACGAAAAAAATATATATAGTTCCTAATGCTCAATACCGGTTCTGCAGAGTATTGTGAAAGATGAACATGTTTTCTACAATCCGGTTAAGACAGATCCGTATAGAAGTAGACTTCCTTGACTCCAGTCAATTGAATTTTGGATAAGTGTGGGATTCACTTCGAAAGTAGGTATTCCGCGATCCAAGTCGCTTTGTCTCACGGGCTTCCTGATTATTCCACTCGCGTTTTGAAGTACCATGGCCAAGGGAGACAATATAACCGATTTAAGTCTGATCCGACTTTTAACGGGTTTGGGGTTAGTGAATAAAGCAGGTGACTTGGTGCGAGGGGGAGGCCTGTTCGGAGTCACGATTTCATTATTAACTCCGTCAGCTCTGGATTCTAGCTGCTAACTTCACACCGCGGAGGACGTGAGTACGCTCATGTCTCGACGCTCTGAGCCCTTAAGTATCTAGTTTTCACAGAGTAAATAATTTTCGAGGAGCACAAATATTCTATGAAGAATTCATAACTTATTTTTTCTAGGTGATAAAAATACAAGAAAGGCTTCCAGGCCTGATTACACATATGCACACTTTTTAAATTAAGATTAATGTTAAACACGGGCTTATGGTTAACTATCTATATATTGATCACACCTTCCATACATGGCTATTTTATTCATAGTTCGATACAACAACTCATATCCTTCGAGGTATTTTTAGCACTGTTTCGTCTCACTTAGGTAAAGACGAGTATTCACACAACCTGAGGAAAAAATTCTCGTTTAGTAGAGATCAACGCTGGTGGCTCTATTTCCTAAACTCGGTTATGAACATTGAATGATATAGGTATTTATAGAATGGCTGGTAAACTATACCTCATATAGAAGTTTTAGAGGTATTGCGATGATGTAGCACTCTCGGTAGAAGTATAATTGAGCACTTTGTTAAGAGGCGGATTTTTGTTGTGAGTATTCCAGGTCCTCCGCACTTGGCCTTGATCCGTCATGACTGATGCGACGTCTAATCCTATGGAAATGGCAGGAGAGACTACATCCACACTTCACAGGAGTTCTAATGAGACATCTGCAGATATAATATATTAATGAAAATTATGATCTTGTAGCAGCTGTATTGACGAACTCAGTAGGTATAACTGGGTCAATCTTTGCACCGGCATAGAATAACGCTAATTTAGGCTCGGCTGTGTTTTTGGCTTGTGTATTATCCTAGCAGTCATACTATTTCTATATTGTCGCTCTTTAGATGCTTATTGTGTATTGGAACCCACAGGTCATACATCATGCCTCTTCTCTCTCTGGTTATTTTTTTTATTGTGTCATATTGTATAAGACACTAGATAGCGCGTGTACTTTCCTGATGCTCAACTCATTATAGTAACAATGCCAAATAATAAATATATATATATATACATTTTAATTATAATAAATGCTATAATTATATTTAATGCTTATGTTATATTTTTTATTATGTCAAAATAATAATTTTGTAATGTTTATTTTTTAAAAAAAATATATATATTTTAATGCTAAACGGTTTGAATATTAAAGATGAATTTCTAATCGAGTTCAAGACAGATTTAGATACCTAATCATAATTGAATTTGGATAGTGCATTTTGAGTAGGTATTCGACCAGTTGTTAACCCTAATTCCACTCATTTTGAATAATCCATGTGTGGGGATGACAATATAAGCCGATTTAATCTGATCCGATTTTAACGGGTTGGGTTAGTGAATAAACAGGTTTGGGGGGTTCGGGTAGTATTTTTATTACTCGTATTGGATTCAGGTTTAAGGACGTAAGTATCTGCTATCTAGTATCTGTTTAATAAATATTTTCAAAAATATTTAAAATAATTATTTTTTTGAAATAAAAAATTACATATGCACACTTTTAATTATAATTAATGTTAAAATTATTTAATATTTATATTATATTTTTTATTAAGTCAATAAATAATTTTATAATTTTTACTTGTTTTTTATTTTAAAAAATTAAAATAAAAAATATTTTTAATGATAAATGGGTATTTAAATGGGTTCAAATTTTTAAATGGGTAACTATAATTGAGTTTAGAATGGGTTCCGGTAGTGCATTTTAAGCGGGTATTCATTGCCATCCCTATCTATGGGACAGCTAATCCCATTAAATTATAAAAATTAGATATAAATATATTAATGAAAAATTATGATCTTGTACATGTATTTTGTCACTGTATTTTGAAAAATAAACTAATTTACGGCTGTGTTTTTGCTTGTGTATTATCCTAGCATCTAATTTAGTTCTTTAGATGTTAATTGTGTAGGAAAAGATACAAATGCTCCTCGGTACAATTGCCAAATAAGAAACTAGAAACGGTGTCCTATCAAAATCCAAATATTGATTGGGCAGGGATGAAAGTGAGATCTGGTATTTTAAGATATTTGTTCTGCTTCAATCCATTTTATCAAAGTACAAATAGTTATAAACAAGCATATAACCTGGCAATGTACTAGTTAATTGTTGTAAATCGTATATTTATAAATACGATTTTAAAGTTGTGTTATGATATAAAAGGAATTTGAAATTTTATAATAAAAATTTATGCACATCATTTCATATTTGTTGACTTTGTAATAATTTAACTTTTACACATCATTATGAATACTATATTGACATTATCATGTAGATGTAGTTATATGATAAACTATAATAATATCTATACTATTTGATAATGCTACTTCTAGTAGAGTTTTGTCAAAATATTTGTTATCACACAAACATAAATACATTTTTTCAACCAAATGAGGTTAAAAATTCATATATGTTTGTTTTTGTCTTAGTTGACACATTCATCGTAAATTTTTTAACAATACAATTATACTGTCAACCTATAATAATTATAAAATATTTTTTAAAAATAACAATAATAATTAATAAAATTATTAATGAAATTAATGTCATCAATAATTTATTATTTAAATAACCATCAAAGACAATTTATATTCATAATTAGTTGAAAAAATATTAATGTCATCAATTAAAGCCTTTTAATGTGAATATATAAAAAATAAAAGCCTTAAATACGAATCTATTAAATAATAATATTTCTCAAATGAAAATGAGCAATTTGTATAAATAAAATAAAAATCAATTTTTATTAATGTTTTACCTTTGAAACTTTAGTTTGAGTCAATTTAAAAAGAAAAATCATAAAAATATAAATTTATATAGATATTATTATTCATGGGTTTAAATACGATATCA